AGGTTTTAATTCAATTATTTGTGTTTTTGTAGGTTTTAATTTAGTTTTTTGAGTTTTTTAGTTTTAATTGTTTCTGTGTTTTTTGAGGTTTTCATTCAGTTTGTGTGTTTTTGTGCAGCTGCTGTCTCAGGGGGCCTTCGGGTATCTGCTGCCCATCATCTCCTTCGTCCTGGCCTGGATAGAAACCTGGCTGCTGGACTTTAAGGTCCTGCCTCAGGAGGCCGAGGATGAAAACAGTAAGTCTCAGCGTTAATAAACGTCCTGTAACCACAGCTTCACACCTCASTTTAGTTCAGAACACGGGGAATAAAACCAGACTGCTCTTATTTCTTTGTTGCATGGAAAAAATACAAAATGACATCATATTTATGAGGTAAACATTTCTAAGTACTGACTTTAAATCAGGTTTGACAAACTTTCCCTGAAAAATCGATTTAACTTCAGTGAGAGAGGATTCCAGTTAGAATCAGTGGTGYGGAGCCACAGACGCTACCTGTGATAGATCTCTGTCGTTTCCTGTTTGTGTTGCAGGATATCAGTCCTTTGTGAACGCCGCTGAGCACGCCGCTCTGATCGGGCCCGGTCCGGTGTCAGACGGACAGTTTTACTCCCCACCAGAGTCTCTGGCAGGTCTGAAAACCAAACGCTGAGCTCTCACCTCTGTCCTTCCTGGGTTTGTTGCTCCAGTTTGATGATGGATCAGCTGCCTGATTTCTGCTCATTACACTCCTGTTTGGTTTTAAAAAAGCAGAAGCAGCTTTTAGACGAACTTCCTTAAGTTGAAACATTTTAATTTCTGTTTTACCTGATCTTGATTGTGGAGTAAAACCACTCACTTCTGTTCTCAGACTCTGACGAGGAGCTGGACGACAAACACGAGCCGGAGAAGGGTCTGATTCAGAACCTGACATAACAGGTGAGAGAAACCAGCTCCTGGTTTGATGSTAAAACTCTGTCTTTACTGAAACTCTGAAGCTGTTTCTGTTTCCAGCCTCCTCTGATGAAGAGGGAAGTTTTCTCCTGCTCCCGTTCTGCTTCTGAGGGAAACTTCTGCCTTAAACATTCTGCCATTTTTTTAAAAATTGAATGAAGTCTTTGTACGTTCATATCCCACGATGCACCTCACTTTCTTCAAGTTTCAGTCATCGGCACATTTTGAGACTGGAAAAGTGCTGCTTTAAAAAGGCAGTTTCAGCGCTACGACCTCCGGTTTGATCGTTTCTCCACATTTCTGGACCTCGTAAGGGAATTCATTTTATACAAAAATGCACTTAAAGTTTGGTTGAATTAAAAAAAAGCCAATACTTTTTTTTTTAAAGATCCTTTTTAAAYGTTCAACCCCAATTCAAACTATTACATTTTGTTTTACACAACGTTTGAACAGTTTGTTTACTTTTAAACTGTTTTGTATTAAGTGTAAACTTCTTGCACAGACTCTTGGGTATAATGAAGAAGTGGACCAGTTTGTTAAACACATTCTACTTTAAAGTGTATAAAACCACTGAAGTATCTCGCATGAAACGTAAAGATCTGAAGTATTTAAGAGAAGAAGAGTCATGAATCTGTTAAATAAAACACATGAAGGTTTCTGCACTGGATGGAAATAAAAATCCTGCTTCTTTAAGCTGCTCTGATGGAACAAAGAGTTTAAATGTAACTGTACATATCGTCATGCATGCCCTGCAACGCCTGTATGCAAATCTGAACCATTAAAATGTGAAACCTGGAATGTGTCAGTTTATTTAATGTTGCAGAATTTTACTCTGTAGAAGCAGAAGTGTAAATTTGAGTTAATTTATCTTCTGCACATTCAGATGTTAACATGATTTTATATGTTAATTAATGCAGCATTTGCATCGATTTCAAATAAATCCCGAGAGCACCACTTTCTGTAATACTGCTTTATTGTTTTGTCACATTTTTATTGACAGAGTCAAGAATCCAAGGCAACTGTATCAGAGTGTCCACAGTTTTACATTTCATCTCCTCGGTCAGACATTGCTTTCAAATAAATACGACACAGATTTAAAATCGTAAACAGCTAACCTAACATCTGATCCTGATTCAGTCACAGTGTGGGAAACAAACGACACGTGGAGGTTAACGACCGGTAAACAGATTGAGTTTTTTTAATAGTGTTTCTAAAAAAAMAAACATTTTTAATGATCAGAAACAATGTTTTTCCTCTGAGACGTGAAAAGCAGCAGAACCGAAGCACAAACAGCAGGTTTTATGTGAAAAACAGAAGAAACCTTGTGATTTCTATTCACTGCTGTTCCACAGAACGACGGCACATTTTCTGTTTCTAACAACAAAAAGTCTGTTTTAGACTTCTTTGTATTTTTCCAGATAGAAACATAAGTTATAAATCTCTGACTCCTCAGCCACACAGTCACTAAGTTGTCATCTTCTCTGGAAAAATTAAAGAATAAGATGATTAACAAGATATTTAAATCATAAAACTATATTTTAATCTGTCTGAAAACTTTTGGCTCAACTCAGACAAGAACAGAACACGAATTAAAAATAAAATTATGTGAAAGTGTTAAATCTCAGTGTTCGGTAAAACGCTGGTTTTGAGAATTAAAAGTGCCAAACTGACTTTTTTTTTCTTTCAGTTTAATTATTTTGTTGACAGAAAAAGAAATCTTTAAATGTTTTCACAGCTGCGGTTTCACAGATGAAACCTTTAATTTTATAAAACTAATGAGAATTTCTGAAAGATTTCTAGAATGATTTCATAGAATCAGAAATTAATAAGCTGAGCTCTTAAACTGACCAGATTACTCATTTTATTATATATTAACTGTGAAAAATACAGAACTCATTCACTGTCATTTATCTGAGCTGAACTTCTCCAAAGTGCATTGTTTAATCTGCAAACGTAGAGATTGTCTTACTTATCTGGATGATTAAATAACAGAGATTCAGCCTCGGTGTTAAAATGTTTCTAATTAGTGATAAAATTATATGAATGAAGCAATGTTATAAAGCTACAAATTAACCTTTTATCCTTACTAAACAAGAAGCAGCAGTTAAATGTTTTAATTTATGTAGTTTGAGTGAAGAATTTGATTCAAAAGATTTTTTTTTCTATTTGACAGAAGACATGTAACCTGTCCACAGGTTTTAAAATAAGAAAGAAAGAAAAAAATAATAATAAAAACTTGCTGTTCCTTCTCTGTCCAGCAGGTGTCATCAGAGAGCTGCAGCTTTCTAGGTTGGTTTTTATAAAACCAACAAAAAATGTTTCAGAGAACTAAGGTTACAAATGTGTCCAGGAAAATAAAAAGTGCAACATTACTGCCTGTTGGGAACACTCAGGCTGCAGAAAGTGCTTTAAACTATAATACTGCTGTGAAAAATACTGTATAATGCTGTTCTTCAGGCTCAGAAACACCTGCAATCAACTCATAAAAAATTATAATAAAAAATTAGTTTTATTGTATATGATAGTTAATAATGTGAAAAGTTAAAACAGAACATCAAAACTACAATTCAAAGAGTCAAATTTAAACAAAAGTAGCCCAGTTCTGTTCATCACTTACAAAACTAACGTGTTTTTAATGAAATAAAAGCTCCATCATGGCTGTTTTATTTACGCCAAAAGACTGAGCTGATAATCAGGAGTCTCTCTGCTCTGACGTGCACGCTCACGTGCACTTTTACAGCCAGAGATGAAATAAAATCCTGATCGGTTCAGTTTGTGTGAAAACAGAAGGGAAGTCAGGATGGCTGTGTTCAGTTTACAGGTATTTTTTGATGTTTTTTTTAAACATAAACAGGTTTTACTGAAAAATAAATTGACTTTTTCCACATACAGTTCATATGACTGAAATCATTTTGTCATGGTGTGAAAACAAAATATTTTGAGCCTAAAATGTTTTAGTGAAACAATCAAACTGATTTAAAATACTAAGAATGTGACCGCTCCTACATGTGATATTACCTGCTAATTAAATGATTTTGTGATTGAAACATGAGGGAAAAGCAATTTTTCCGATTATTATTAGCAGCTGARCAGTTTAATTTAACTCTTTAGCTAAAATTCCTTTTTACTTTCCACATTTTCATCTATGAGAAACATGAACAATTCATCATATTTTATCATTTCAGAGCCTCTGATTAACGCTGAAACAAAAACGGACAGGATGCAGTGAGAGAAAGAGGAACCAGTCTTCTGTCGGAGAACACTGGTCCTGTTCTGTTGGGTCAGTCTGCTTATGGAGGTGTGTGTGTGTGTGTGTGTGTGTGTGTGTGTGTGTGTGTGTGTGTGTGAGCAACAAAAGGCCGTACACGGAGCAGGAATGTCTCCTGCGTGCGTCGAGCTGTTTCACCCACTGACCTGTTGTCCAGCTGGATTCTTTTCAAGTGTTTTTAAACCCTGAACGAGAACAAAAAATAAAAATAAAGAAAATAAAAACAAACAAAAAAAGGACGCTAAACATTTTGCACATAGCACCATGCCATCGGTTTCCAGTTCTCAACAYGTAACGGTTGTGTCACATTTCCAGAGGTTGTTTTATTTATTTTTTTTTTTTTGTTCCATTAGAGCGCTGATATGCAGAGAGGAAACATCGCTCGTTTGATGGTGAAGAAATAAAAACACTGATGAAGACGAAGCACGAGGTGAAGAGGAGGAGCTGAGGTACCTGTTCAGCTGATTCACTGAGTGATGTCACTTTGTTCTGTGCAGGTGAGGGCCGTGCTGACACAAGGCACAGACTGCCGAGGTGTACGGAAAGCCAGAGCTGACAAATCTACGTGGACATTACGCGTTAATTTGACACGTAAATGACGCGCAAACGACGYGTCAAAGGTTACCCAAACGGACATAAACACATGCTTTTTACGCCTTAACCAAAAGGCTTAAACAGCACACAAACAATGTGTAGTTTACATGTTGTTGACACGTTGATAACACGTTGTTGATGCGTCAAAAACGTGTTAAATTTCCAAGTGTCTTTGATGCGTAATTACAAGTGTTGACGCGTTGTTTGAGCGTCATTTACGCATCAAATGGACGCGCAATGATCACGTGGATTTGTCAGCGTTGGCTTTCCATACTGGTGTGTGTGGGGTGGGGTGGGGGTGAGGAGACGGTCAGCCACAGATAACAGAGCAGGCAGGAGGGGGAGGACGGAGGAGAACAGCGGTGAACTTATGTCTAACTTTATCTGAGTTATTTAATTTTATTTACTGTTTTTATCGTCCTGCAGGCTCTGAGAGAAAATTAATTTCAAGCTGAGGTTTTTTTAAATCTAAAAATCGTTAGATTACTCTAAAGCAAAATGAGGGAAAATCTGTGTCAGTTACAGACATTCTATTCACGTGAGCACCTGTCATCCTCCAGACGCACGAAGGAGCGTGTCTGAACCAATCACTGATCAGCTGACTGATTTAAATACATCTTAACATTCATGAGGTACTTTACATCGATTGTTTAT